TCATATTATACAGTGAAAAAAATGTTATGGTCTCTAATTGTATCTAATTGTATCGTGATGTGCCCTTGTATTATTTTTTTATGTTAAACCACAGATGGAAGATGTGGACTGTATAAAATTGGAGTGAAGAAACCAAAGAAATGAGCACAAATATGCATAAAACACAAAATATATAATTCACGATACAGTGACAATAGAAACATCAAAAAAAAAACGAAAACATTATAAAAAGAAGAGAAAAATGATATAAAGCAAGGAGTTCTCGACATCAGTATGGTTAAATAAATCTGCAGGCACACAAACGTGTGGAACGTTTGAATTATAGTAAATGATGACCGACACCCGTAAATGTATACATGGTGTAAATTTAAAATGAGCTAAGTGAGAGGTTGAAAATTGCAACCGATTAAAAGAGCCATCAAAAGTAAATTTTGTGAAAAAAGTTGTAATGGACTTAATTGCATGTGAGGGACCTTTTAATGTTATTCACAACTTTTTATATTCAAAATTTGCCATTTACGAAGTTTAAAACAATAGTGAAACAAAAAGTTTTTACACAGCTTCTACGTACTTGGATGACGAATATCCATAAATAATCAATTTAGATCTTTCAAGTTATCTCGATCTATATTATGGTATCGGAAATAAACATTATTAATTATAAATGTAAACAAATGTCAATTTACAAAGAATGACCCCTTGTTTCTTATTCATTCTTCCCAGGGGAATTGCATTTGAAATGTACTTAATCAATATGACGATATCAAGTGTAATTTGCGTATATGTGAAATAAATATATATACGAATTAAAATTTTCTATTTCGGTACAACTTGTTTGCACCTAGCTACTTCTATGTTTCTACCGTTGATATACGTAGAAATTTAATCAATGGTTTATAATTATAATTGCAATGTAATAGATTTCCCTACGACATGTAATTTCTAGAGTGTTTATTGTATTCCAGTTAATCATTATTATTTTATTTGCTAATTTTGATTTTTATCTGCCTTAATTTTATTTAGTTTGCAAAGTCTTGTTATTTTAAATTAATACTTTTGACTAAATTATTCTTATTTCAGTGAATATTTCGACATCTTGATTTTGAAAATTTGTATCCCCATAGACTTCATATATTTCACCATACACTCAGTTGTTACTAATATAGTATAAAGTTGTTTATTAACAAACTATAGACCTATGCTGTCTGAGAATAACAGATAATTATTTTTTTTCAAGTTGTGATTAAGCTGTATCTCTCTAATTAAATCAGAATGTAGCATTGGCATCTACTTAGGCTTATTTTACACAGGTTGAGAATTCTTACCACGGTTGTAAGGGTATAGTTAGTAATTGCAAATCTTATGGGGTTTAGCTCATAGTCCGTTACACTAGCCCAAAAGTTTTCTGCTCACAGAAGTCTTCTATCAGTTATTCAGATTGATATGTACTGTTAAAACCTTTAAAAGTTTTGCGGTGAATAAAGCTACACCCTGTATAAATTATTTATTTGTTGAAACGTTTATTGTACAAGAGGAACACAAATTACATTTAACAAAAGGAAAACACAAATTAAAGGTTCTGCTTATTTCTAAAGGATATTTCATCAATACCGTACACAATATTTAAAATAACGATCTGACGTGCATAGTAAAACAAAAATTATATAATACAAAACCAGTATCAATTACATTAATTTATATATAATATATAAAATTTACAATATAATACCCTTAGAATAATAACGCATAGAATGATAGTTTCATATCAAACGAACTGTCACAAGTGAGGCAAAAAATTAAATTCATGTAGGCTAGTTTTAGTAGTAGGTTAATTTTCGGTTTTAGTGAATATTTATATAAAAATACAAATTGAAACGCGTTACATCCTTGTGGAATGTGATGTTAGTATCTATTTTATGTTTTTCTGACGTATTTTTACACTCATTTACCGCACATTTCGTAATTTTTAGCTAAAATTCTTGAGCTGTTCGCGGTGCAAGCACCTTGAGCACTGGAGGCCCGCCCACTCGTGTAGGCCCATTGGGAGCGCTTCAATTTACCTCACTTAGCGTGTGCGGCCTAGGTTTCTGTGCGTTATTATTCTAAGATAATACCTATGAAATGGATGGAATAGAAATAATGCTCCTTAACTCTCATGTTGCAAATAACTAGTTCAATTATGTGCATTTTTAAGTTCTAAAAACTTTGAATCTTTTAAAATGTAAGTACATATACTCACAAGAACAAGACGCGAGGAACGATGTAAGTGGAATATTAATGCTGGAAAACCTGAATTTTCCGTTGCGTAACAGTCTCGCTACGACAGCGCAGCTTCTAAAAGTACATCGTTCACGATGTTGCTACGTACGTGCGTTATATTATTAAGAAGTGTGTAAAGTTTCCTGGAAACGTTTCCTATTTACCTGAAACTTTTTAATGTTTTTTTTTGACTAGGCACTGCAAAGTTAGTGTTAATGTTAATGTAAAGCCGGCAAAAGGAATTTAGGATGAAAAAAAATGCGATTTTGGAAAAAATATGAATGTGCTTCAAGCAAAAATAAAACGTGTACGTATTTTTAATAACGTTGAAACTATCCGTAAACTCAAAAACGAAAATACCTGTTAAGAATTTTTTTTATTTACTTGCTAGAATACAGTAATTATACACATCTAAAATAAAAATAGGTACAATGTATTCAACCTGGAAGCAGGTGTGCAAATATTAATTGCAGTAAATATTTTGGCATCCAAAATTAATTGCATTTCAAATGAATATAAATTAGTATTTGTAAATGCTCTTTATTACTATAGAATAATGCACTAGGGAAACCCTGTGTCGCGGGTGCCATGGACACACATAGACAACCACAAATTACACCCAAACTTACGAGAGAAATAATTGTAGGCCATACAGCTATTTCTTCCGTCCCGGGAATCGAACCTGGGACCTCTGCGTGGCAGTCCGGCAAGGTAACCGTTCGGCCACGGAGGCAGTTAAATAGAAAAAATAGAAGCAATGTGTCATTTTGTCAATTGTGATTTAAACGTAGGTCTGTGTAGTAATTTAAATTCATTTGGTAAACCATTGAAGATCTTTATCCACATATTGAAACAGTTATTCTTATAAATTAATTTGTGACAACGAGGTTGGTATAATATATAAATAAATAAATATAAATAAATAAGATTCATGATTTTAGCTCTGGTTTGCCTTTGTATCAATCCACCACGTGTTTTAAAATATAGAGGATATGAGTATTCACGACTACGCAGATGTCTCTTATATACATGCGTAACAAAGTATGTTTAATTTTTTGAACAACGGTTTGCAGCTATCATCGAATCGCGCACTACAGATCGCTCGAATACATTTCTCTATTAAACAATAAGTACGCATTTAACCTCCATCTCGCCTGATGGAAAATAACGATGAGGTCGACGGTGGAACTTGCACACCCAAATAATAATAATAACAAAAATAAATATATTTCTTATATTAATAATAATAAAATTTGCTTTGAAAAGGTCCAAGTTATATTGTTCAGGGAACAAGTCTGCGGGCAGGGAATTTCTACTCCGGTAGCCGTTCGCCGTATAAATGTGGATATCCCCAACATAGATGTGGAACCCCAGCCTACGTCTGATCTGGTAGTTATAGAATTTAGTGTAGTAGTAGACTTTTCCGTAACGGTCTGTGCAGGTACAGACTGTGAGGTTTAACGCCATGTGAACATAGTCGTGTTTACTGAAACTGATATTTTTTTTATAAAGCATGTTACGTACTCGTAATTCACACAACTTGAGCCGCCGTTGACAACATAAGACTTTGATTGATGAGGTTGGTTATTACGAGTTTTGTTCTTGGTAATAACGCTCTCTTGAGTATACACACAAGCTTCAGAGATAAGTAGAGATAAGTTGAACAAGTTAAGACACGAATTGTGGTTACCTTCATGTTTTGGGCCCGACGAAAGAGAGACGTTACAGATGCTACGAAAGTTGTTCCATAAGCTTACCGTAGATGTTTCAGAAACAGGTTAGGTACAACATACATTAAAAGTATTTTAAACTTACATTAAAAGTATTTTAATTGAAAAGTCATATTACGAAATTGCAGACTACGTGTTAGATAAAGATATACGGAAAGACGACATGATTCTTGATTCCACACAAACTTTATTCAAATTGTATTTAAATTTATTTGAAAAGAGCAACCCCTAGAGGTTATTGCTCGTTCTTCTCAGGGAATTCAGTAGTCTGAATGAGCAGTAGCATAAAAAATAACGTTTTCAAGTGTAAGTTTATTTTACCTATGAAATAAATTATTTTTTACTTTTATGGTAACGTAAACGTCTCATCACAACGTTATTAATATTGCCAAGTATGGTTACAAATGCTTTATTTTTAATAAAAACATTACACATCCTGTTGGATACGCTATAACTTATGCGGATTTAGAAGAAGCATTTGACTTTTATTCGATAAACAGCCTATAAGCTGATGAAAATTTCTTATCACAAAATTAGGAGACATAGTTTAAGAAAATATTTTAGGTCTACTGTATGTGTGATTGCCCTGGATCTCTCTACCCTTCAACTTGGAAAACATCTATGCTTATATCAAGTAAAAATAGATAGGGCGATAGTACCTTCATAGATAGAAAACGGTACATCAGTTGATAGTCTATTTATATTCCCAAATACCAGTTCGGCTTTGCAATAACTACATTTCAAACGTTACGCCCAATTCGTTTGACGAATAGATTTCATTTGCCCACGCAATTGTGAACTGTTCCGAGCCAACTGATTTATATGCAAGTTGTTTCCGGACAGTAATTTTGGTGTATTTTAGGAGTTCAGTAGTTTGTACTGGAGTTTTTAAAACGAGTGAATTTTTTCAATATTGAACTGTATTCAAAAAGAGTAGAAGTTCATATATCTCTCTTTTGCTCTTTTTTTGTAATCAACACCTAGACGTTAACAGTAACCGTCTTTTCGTAGTCGTTGGGCGCATCATCTGCACCGGTGATTCCCTCGCGCTTATTGGCCGACCCTATCGAACTTGAGCGCCGATTGGCTGAAGCTGGTCATGACGGCTTCAGCGCCCTGTGCGAGGACCCCAGTTCCCCCGCTTCGTCACCTCCTCCGACGATCATTGAAGAACGATTGCATCAACGGGTAAGTAGATATTTAACTTCAGTGCATAAGTTTTTGCGACAGCCATTGACGTTCATTGACGTTCTTGATTTTACAACGCCTAACAATATACGCCACACAATAGTCGACACCCTTTATTCGATTACAACATTTGGATGCACCGCACATAGTATGTTTTTCTTGCTCTCGTGCACAACCGACCAGCTGCACACGCCAAGACCTGCTAAAGGCAACGAATAGAGGCACAGAAGTGGCTACTTACTAGGCCAAAAAGATTTAGCACCTGTTTGTTATTTTATTGGTTTTTGTCATTGACTGAACAAGAAAAATAAATCCTAAAAACGAAGTAGTTTCGTAAAAATCACGACCGTCAGTGATACAAGCAACAACTTAAGAATGGAAGAGCAAATGCTACGGGAACCTAAAATACCTATGTGAAAGCGAAATCGTACGTAAATAATGAAATGTTTTGGTCAACAGCCAGTAGCGTCAATAGTGGCAGTGGTACCTAGAGGAGCGTTGGCACCATCTCCGCGTCCCCCGCAGTTTATACCACCCCCAGTTGATCCTCAACCTCCGCCAATGAGGTAAGTGCTCGAAATATTTTTATGAGAGTAACACAAAATACATTGTTAAAAATTATAAAGCCTGATTCTGTGCATATCGTTCGGCATTGAGTTTGCTATAATAGCCAGACGTGTCAGGTGGCTGGATCACAGAAAACCTGCAAAGTACTACACAGATAGAAAGACAGGTTCTTGAACTTATCTAATAGTTACTTTTTATGACACGGACAAAATGTCCGATGGCGTCATTTATTGCAGGTGTCGAGATATACACATAGAAATGTAAGACTATTAATATTGTCCATGCATATTTCAGCCATATCTCGATTCATATAAAAATAAATTTCGTCTGGCTGGGGATAAAACCCTGACTATCTCAGGTCCTAGGATCGCGATCCGTATTGATAAGTCGATAGGTCTAGTAAATGTTACAGGAGGCCCATATCGAGGCTAGTATAGAGAAATCGACCACTTATAGTAAAGTATAGAATTTACTTTAGGTTACCACTGGATATGGCGGTGCGAGGCACAGGTGAACCAGAGACATTGAGCTATGAAGTCGACTTAAACAAAGATTCTGCGCTCGGTCTGGGGATCACCGTTGCTGGTTACGTATGTGAACAGGGTAAGTTAATCGTTTTTATTTACTGATCTTGTGGTTCATTTCGATCATTATCAGTGACCACATTTATTACGGATCTGTTGATATGTTCTTCGAATGTGTAGTAGGTTAGAGAGGTCCAATTCAATCACAGAGATAACATACTAAATCAATTTTCTGAACAACAACTTAGTAGGGACATTGTCTCTTTCTGAGCAGGTGTTCACCAGTACGTGACCTGGGAACGAATCAGGTCATATGACGGTATTATCAATTTTTGTGACACTTTTCTTTTGAATTTGATCTATGTGATCATTTTAACTTCTTAGCGATAAAAATACAAGGTCCTAATGTTAAAACTAGGGTTATACATTCTTTTTATATGACTGATGTTATTTGATATTATTATGATGATATTATAAATATAGATATTATAAATATACTATACCTTTAATTATTGTACGAATGTCCACATAAAACAAACAATACTTTGTGTGCCTCAAGGCAAATGCATTTTTACTACAATTTTTAACACATAAACAATGCCACAAAAAAAAAACAATATTAACGTTTTGTGCTTTATTTTAGTTAGTGCACTTTCTACGTAGCAGTAACTTAGTGTAGTCAATTTCAGTACAATCTACGTATCGAAAATCTAAATTGTGTAAGCATGTTTCTTACTGCAAATTTCAACACTTGCCGTTCGAAATGTCGCCACGAACAAACTCTAGTGCGCAGAACACAGTCTAGTTCACAGAACAATTTGAACTTGAATGATTGCCTAAGATGAATTTTAACCGACTTGAGATCATTCAAAGCCCATATTCCTAAACATGGAATTTCATTTTCATAATTTGCTCAACTGTCGAATAAAAAGGGTTTTTAAGATCGATCTCCTTTCTAACGCCTTGTCAAGATTCAAGACAGACCCTTGTACGACCCGTCCTGCTAGTAGGATCATTTGTAATATTATCTTTTGTAATATCTTGTCAACAAACCACATCGTCATATTTGAAAACTATGTGTCAGGTTATTTTTGTCTGTCCAACAAAATAACGACGTCTGATTGAATTTTATGGACTGTTGCACGAAAGTGTAATAAATATCCGGTGACAATTTTTCACTGACATCAGCAAATGGACGATTTCCGTGGCCTAGCGGTTAACATTGTGAGTGCTAGAATTGGTTCGATTTTGTAGCACCAATTTACTTAACTATATTTTCTAAATTAGTTCTAATCTTTTTGTTCTAGACACCGGAGTTAAATTCATTGCTCTGGTGTTCAGAGCATAGGAGATCCCCTAGTTTGAGATCAGGTACTTGGTGTGATTCTCAAACAGATTCAATCTAATTTAGGAAACATCAACACCTTTAAATCTGATCATCACCATGATACCTGAGGTAACCTATCACAAACTCCAATTGTTTTTTCCGAAATAACGCTTGTTCGAATTTTCATTACACCGAAAACCGAATTATAACGAAACCGTTGTTCTTTCAGGACATTTTTTTATGTTTATCGCAAAGACATGATTAGGTTCGGTTAGCTTAGGTTAAGTTAGGTTTAAAAGAAAAAACATTTTCCTCTCAAAATTACTTTTAAGGTTATGAAAATTCAAGCAAACGTTATTTCTGGATAATGTCCGGTTTCGTAGGCTTTAAAGCATGCGAGGTAGACTAGGAGAAATACGAAGCATGATATTTAAACGTTTTCCTTTTAGAAATGAAATATACTCGCGTACTGCAAAATAAGTTCACAATTCCATGACGTATTCATTACGGAACACGGGAAAGAATATTTAATTGAAATATCTTTATTACCAATCGAATGAAACTGATTTTTGTGAACATAAAAAAACGAAAATTTTGCGGAACTTTGTGATTTTTTTATCGCTATGTGTTCAGTTTTCATTATCTAATAAGAAACTAGTTGAATTCGTATTTTTTAAAGTCAAAAACCTAGGAAAAATAACCAGTACTTCTATATAGCAGTGAACTCCTTTAGAAAGAGTTCGTCTAAGGAAGTACTGCCAAATTACCTACTTCTGCCGCCAAGTAGTAAAGTGAGATTTACGGCGTTCAGGTTTTGAAGGGTAAAGGGGCTGCTGAAGGCGTGTCGCTTACCACCAGGTGCATGGTTTTGTATTAAAAATTACCTATATGGGTTATTGTTCTTAAGAAACCGATTTTACGTACGGTCGAAATACGACAACATCATTTATTTTGAGTTTGACTTCACCTTAACGAAAATGTTGCCTTTGTGACAGTAGACCGTATGGCCTTTGAAAGCAAATATTTTGAATGCTATAGTAATGTGATCTGGTCGGACAGCTGAATGTTTTCCCTGTTTATCACTTTATGGGTAGAAAATGGAATGCTGGCCAGATTTTTCCAAGTGGAAAGATTGGACAATAATACAATAACGGCACAAATTTGTAAAGCGGATGGGAATGGAAATTGGAGAAAGAATGACATCGGCGTACACGTCCCAATCATATTATAGTGAAGTTCCCAATAGGTCGGATAAAAGGGTCAGGAATAAATGAGCACGTATGAAAAGGTTGATGTGAAAGGAGAACGGAATGCCTACTAAAATGAGTGACAGGCGTAATTGCATACAGAGTGTCTTCAAGCAAGTGGTGCGTATCAATTTTGTAGTTTAAAAGCATTTACTTACAAATAAATGGACGACGGGTCTAATACAAAGTCCACGAAAAAAATGTCCCAAGTCAACCTATTTAAACGTAGTGACATGTAATGGAATATGACAAAGCTAAAACGTTGAATTTAAATTGTAATGTCATCGCAGTACTGTCTAATTTTGCTTGCTTCGCTGTCAGTCGAACAAACGAAGACTAAAGCGTGAATGACGCTCTGTATACGATTTTAACGCCCTATAAATTCGGACACTTTTTAGCGCGGACCCGACGTCCATATAATTGTAAGTCAATGTTTAAAGGGAACAATTTTTGGTCTATTTGTTAATACATTGTTTTAACCTTTTCATGGATTTAAATCTTTGACGACCTCGGTGGCCTAACAGTTTACATTGTGGGCGCTGGATGCTGAAGTCCCGGGTTCGATTCCCGGCAGAACCAATTTGGGAAATGAACTTTTGCACATTGGCCATTGGTCTGATACATGTTGTAAAAAAACATTACAGAATTCTGAGGTACGCCAATTTTTATATGTGGAGAAAAAATTGTTTTTCCTTTTACTATTTAAATGTAGAACTAAAATGGTTCCACTCGAGATGTGGAGTCGATACATGCTTACTGAATATAGTTGTTTACATTAACCAATAACTCGACAGGATCTCCATACCACAGATCGTAACTCTGAGAAAGGTCAAAATTCCGCCTTGCATCTAGATGGCGCTGATCAATAGTTTGGAAGTAGTTTATATTATGTAAATTTTTTTTGTCAGTTTTTTCCTTGTAATATTATTCAAATATTAATGTAATAATAATATAATCGTCAACAGAAGGCATTGTGTGTTACAATCTAATTTATGAATTAACGCTTTCCAACAGCGCTAATCCTAAACAAATTAAAATAATAGCCGGCAATATCCATAAAAATCTGTGCAATAAGCGCCATCTTGTTGATTTGTTTGTTATCACTAGAAATTAGAGTAGCTTTTGATAAATGCAGCTTGTTAATATAAAACAAATTAGTTACAAAAATAGGCTATTTGGTACTCGTCGCGACATCTGGTGGTTCCAGTAGGTACTAAATACTTGACTAAAGTGTCTTGTATCGCGTTTAGCAGTCCTTTTGCGTTGTTGGCCAATGATTGAAATGTTGCACATGTAGCGAAATTACCTTACAAATAAATGGACGACGGGTCTAATACAAAAACCACGAAAAAAATGTCCCAAGTCAACCTACTTAAACATAGTGACATGTAAAGGAATATGAAAAAGCTAAAACGTTGAATTTAAATTGTAATGTCATCGCAGTACTGTCTAATTTTGCTTGCTTCGCTGTCAGTCGAACAAACGAAGACTAAAGCGTGAATGACGCTCTGTATACGATTTTAACGCCCTATAAGTTCGGACACTTTTTAGCGCGGATCCGACGTCCATATAATTGTAAGTCAATGGAAATTACAATAAAATAATCTCATTAACCATCTGTTGAACCGTTGTAATATTTCGCCTATTATAGAATTGCAACATAGATAGCATCTACAAAATCTATTCAAATTCTTCCTAGTTTAAATTTCAATTTTGGACGCTACGTAATATGATGTACGGTAAAATTTTCAATATTATTAATTGGTAACGTCAGATATTTTTGTCTGAGCTCGCATCTCCTTTTCCTTTCCGATCCCAATCCGTGCTACGCCAAAGCCACATAAATCGCCAGTGGCTTAAAAAAAAGTGTGTGTGACATTAATTTTTTAAACATTTTTAATTAACTGTCCGCATCTCCGCCCAGCGTTAAGCTGTGTACATAAGTTTTCACATAGTGGCGTTATCGATGGTCGCATGTGACGAGGTGAACCAGTACGAGCTCTTCGATGTTTCGGATATGAAGGTTGGATCCAGCAGCTCTCCGCGAGCTATGGAAGGTTTTATAAAGTTTTTTTCATATATGTATATGCCAATTATGTATATTTGACCTACCAGACTATTTGTAGAATGTGTTTTATGAAACATTCGTTTTATTATTGAATTTTACAATATTACAATTTGAAATACACTCATCTTCACTAATATAAATAATAATAATCAACAAAAAAAAACGAACAGAATAACAAAAAAAAGAAATTACCACGATGCCAATAAAAAAAAAACTTAAATTAATTTTTCACTTAACGCGCCCAATTAATGCGCTCGTGGTTGTAAAATCCGGTCGACGTTCGTAGTACCAGGGAACGATGACTAGCAAGGCGCTACGAATATTTTCTATAACGATACCGTGTCGTCAATGAAATGTGGTCATTGCTGGGGACTGGGACAGCTTGACACTGAAAAATTGGTTGTAGGAAAACTTTCTATCTTTGCCAACCCTGAGCCAGAGTGGGCGTAATCAAAATATCTTACCCCGTTTCGACACACAGTGAATCTCGTAAGATGCCAAATCTCTTTCGTAATATTTTACGCAATTTGGGCACACCCTCTGAGTAATATTTGAAACGTCGAAATGTATTTGTACACCTTTGAGTTCTTAAAAAGGTCGAAATGTTCTTCTGAAGTTTTATTTTATGAACTCAAACAAACTGGTACGGCATCAGACGGTTCTACAGACACATCATTTGGAATTTTGGAATTTTAATGCTAACTGCGATTTTTTTTGTTTATAAAGTGACGGGACGAACAAGTCGTGCGCCTGATGGTAGGCTACATGCCTGTCCATAACAGTTGCAGTGCCAATCAGAATTTTAAATCGCAAAGATCTAAGAGGCACTACCACTGCGCTCGACACACTGAAACTAGATTTGACAAATCCCATGTGCCGGTAATTTCACCAGCACCCTTACCCTTGGCGGCAGAAATAGTTAAGGTGGTAGTACTTCCCCGGACGAGCTCTTTCACAAGGACTTCACTGCTATATAGAAGTACTGGTTATTGTACTAGTTTCTTATTAGATAATGAAAACTGAACATATAAATTCCGCAAAATTTTCGTTTTTTTTGCGTTCAAAAAGTCAGTTTCATTCGATTGTTATTAGAGATATTTCAATGAAATATTCTTTTTAATACAGTTACTCAAAACGTGGTATTTTTCGCACTACAAATCGTGCGGAAAGTTGGATTTCTCGCACTAGTGCTTTTTACTTTTCCAGTTTTTTTTTAATTTACTGTTGTTTTAAGTTTTAAACATAGAACTAAAGAAGTTGTATATTTATTTAATATTTATGTGCTTTGTGACGTACATAAGTCATTCGTCATTAAAACATATTTATTTACAAATACTATATAATGAACGTATCGAGTGGAGGTCCACAGTCTCTGCCTACCCCTGAATGGGTGACAGGCGAGATTTTTATGTATACATTTATTTGTTCTATGTATTACAGATAAATTATATCTCACTACCGTGCACGGGTTCCTAAAGAAGTTTAAACAAAAGTACCAGGACTTCATAATAAGAAAAGTGGTTACAGACCGATATTACAGAAAACAAACAAAAACAGCACGGTAGAACTAGATTTCCATAGACTTTTAACTAATGGTTGCAGTGGTTGTATTTCATTATTTTAATTTACTAGCAGAAAAAGAGTTTTGTTTAAATACTGTTTTATTTTACTTTCAATGTAGTTTTTTCGCAAATGTATTAAAAAACGTCGTTTGATACACGTGCGGTTTTGTCATTTTCACTTGTCTCGCGTCTTGACCCTCGCCTCTGGCTCGGGCCAAGAAGCCTCGAGACTCGTGAATAATGACTAACTTTCCGCACTTATATCAAAAATAACTATTCCCGTATTCCATAATGAATACGTCAGGAAATTGTGAACTTATTTTGCAGTAATACTTTGTTTCTTAAAGGAAAACGTTTAAATATCATACTATGTATTTCTCCTAGTCTACCTCATACGCTTCAAAGCCTACGAAACCACGATATTATTTCGTCTTAAAGAACGGTGGAAAATTACTGAATGATAAATTTAAGTGATAAATTTGAGTGATATAGTGATAAATTTATGGGATAAACAGCTTCACAGGGAGTTCTACTGCTCGTTACGCTTTCGTAGAGTTAATGAGCGCAATCCCGCGGTCTTTTCCTTTTCATTCCAACATCTTTACACGCGCCCTCAATCGAACACGATTGCTGTATCACGCACGATAGAATGTCTGTGTAAAGCCCGCTAATAGCCTTCGCTACATCTTTAGTCTTTACATTTTCTCGCTGTTAGAAAGATGTAATTACTGGTATGCGAACTGAACTGGGCAAACAAAAGATGTTTAAGAACCAGGATAATTTACTTAAATGGTCTGTCTCATTTTGACACATTTATCTACTAAGGCTATTTGTGTAATTAGCTAATTAGACAAGGGAAGCGACAACAGGTCCATTTACAAAAACAAGCCTACAAAAGCTTGTTTGTTATGACGAATAAGTGGACAAAACAATGTTTTCGAGGTGCGGCTTAAGTGATTGAAGAAAATTATTTACAACTTCGGTTTTTATTATAAGAGTAAAGGTTAATATTGTTTGTATGTTAGACGTTTCAACTAAGGTGGTTTTCCACTGGCGAGGCGAGACGAGAATTGAAATCTCGCCGGCCTATTTCTATCAAAAATAGCCATTAATTGCTCTTGCCAGCTCATGCTGTGGATGTGCTTACTGACAATTCAGTGTTATTCAGTTAATGTAGCGATTATACCCTGCTGAAGTAACATGTCCCGTAAATTATATGTTAATGGAAGAAGAATCAGATGAAGCCATTTTTTTAAATCTCAAATCGTACGTACCCCACGATCTTGCGATTGATATTAATAGCCATCGCGAGCTCGCGCGAAGAATCGTATTTCCGTTGCGAATATAATACTCTGTCTCGGCAGCAATACGGTTCAATATTACATCAATAAATATTTCAAATCTCGCTTCACCCAACCTCGTTAATCCAGATCATTTCCCCCAAAGATGAGAGAATTGAAATTTTGCCATTCGAACTTCTACCCTCATCTCGCCTCGGCGATGGAAAAGCACCTTAAGGTATACAAATAAATAACTGAGCTCTCGTATGGAGTGGCGTCTTTATTGCCGGATTCCAATATATCGGGTCACTGCTCCCAGGAAGTTAGTTATAGGCATTATCTTCGGTATCGTTAGTGATTAACAATTGACATCGCGTACTTTATTTATTACCACACCATCCATTATATTAATGGATTAATAGAGCAGTTGCACGAGGTATATAAAATCATCCTGTTTATATAAAACTACAATGCAAAGTAATGGAAACTATATCGATTTCTTAGGTCTTCGCGATTGCTAATTGAAATGAAACTTTTTTTTTATCGGATCTGAATTGTTTTTTTTTTACACAAATTAATGTTTAAGGCTCAGAGCTCATTTTTAGTAGCAGTAGAGATCCTTGTGAAAAATTTCGTCCAGGGAAGTTCTGCCACCTTAACGCAGTAATGTGAGTATTACCCTGTTCCGGTTTTGAAGGGTGAGGAAGGGTGTTAGTGAAATGTTTGTGCAGTGTCTCTCAAATCTTTGCGATTTAAAGCTCTGGGTGGCACTGCAACTGTTATGAACAACCTGGCGCACGATTCGTTCGTTGGTTCCACGGTTGACGGACTTAATGAATGCAAACTATATAACTCTATATATTGCGAACTATAGTTACGGAAATTATTAATTTTACTACCTTATTTTGAATTTACGCTACATAAGATTTGATGTTAACATTTAAAATTTTTATTCTATTTATTTACATTTGGGTAAATTTTAGAGTTTTGGTTCTTTTAATTAGTTAGTATACTACATATTACATACTAATTAATAATAAATATCCTATAAACATAGGGTAAATGCATAGTTAAATGATATGAAATTGTCGCTCTAATATTCTGCCTACGTTGAAATTAAATAAATCTTTTTAATTTAAGTTACAGATTTTTAAATTTAAAACTGTGGTGCTATTTTCTGTTTTCGTTTTGAATACCTAATCTTATGATTTTTATAAAAAAAAAGACTTCAAATTTTTGTGGAATTACGTCTGTTCGCAAAGTTTTATTGAAATCGGTTTCATCTAATTTGCCATCCTTTGGTGTAATATTTTGTTCAAATTTGAATGAAGCCACTACTGAGGTATCCCTTTCCAACAAATAAAGACTCATGGAAATCGGTTCACAAATGCCAGGGTAATCGTATAACATGTAAGAAAACAGTTGAACCGAGAACTTTCGCCCTTTTTTTGAAGGCGGTTAAAAATTTTTGCGTTCGAGTTTTGAATGAAATTAATACCTTGTTTAGTGATTGGAATAACTAAACCTCCCCGATTTAGTTATTCCAATCACTACTTATACACTCGTGTAATACCTATGTTATAACTAAACAATCCCATGTTTCGGGATCCAACTTATCAGCTGTTCGTATTAAATTTCACTTATTCTCGACTCGCAATAAAAAAGTCTCTATATACCTCTAGTGACCTAGCACCTTAGCAAATTTCAAGTTTTAAAATCTACAGACAATGGTCTAAAATTTTGATCACAATATGTTTCATAATAGCGATATATTTTATTAAAATCGTAATTTTATGTAATTGAAAGGACCTTATAAGATAAACAAAATTACAAGTGTTTACGTCAAATACATTTTGATTTATAGAATGTCGAAAACGGCGCCAAATGGTTCGTGTAATATGATACACTGTCAGTGCGCCCACTTTATTTTCGGAACGTTGGCTGACGCACTGCCATGTTTTTTTTACATACTAGAAACAATACGATTTTCTGTTCATAATTTTTATAGTAAATGTTCAAAAAGTCATCACTAACCCATTTCTACGACCTAATGCTGGACAGATCTCCTCTCTAGTCAAGATTTTAGGTTATAGTCCTCGGGCGGGTTGTGGAT